CTAGTTTCATTAGTCATTTATAAAAGCATTGAGCTAAAATATTGTAAAAGTCTTTGTTGTAATGGAATTATATTATAAAAGTAATAAGTATTAAACAATTCTAAAGGTGTCACTCTTGAAAGCTTTAATTTTTTTTAAAATGCAATGAAGATGGCTGATATTGTTTTGCATTGGGCAGCTGAAGGAAGTATAAGTTGAGACCTATATTCTATTCTTGAAAGGATCACTGTATTGTAAATATAAATAATTTGTAAATCTATCAGACATTTGTTTTTTATAATCTTTATTGCATTTTTACTTCAGAGAGTAATTAGTTCACTATAAATTGATTATTAGGTTATAATGATATTCAGACTCCTAGATACTGAATACTTTTATTAGAAGGATAAGATATAATTTCACAAAATTGTTGATTTCATTGAATAACAAATGGTCTTAATTGTGATGTATTAACTAGAAGCTCTGATTTTGACCAGTTCACTTGAATATTATTAAAATTAAAGAAACTGTTAGCAATTGAAGCAAAGTTTGATAGGTTTTGTCTGGATTTAGTGACTCATAGAGTGTCATCCATAAATGTTAGTACTAGAATTTTGCATTGATAAAATATCATTTGATTAGAATAGACATTAGGATGCCATTTTACATTCATATTATAATCATGTTGTAAATCATTGATCTTACATAGGAGGGTCATAATAGATATACCATAGGAATGGTAAATTACTTTTCCTTAGTTAATACCTGAGTGGACCAAGTATTTATCAGTATTGCTATGTGATGTAAAAACTTGATTAAAGTAGGATATAAAAATTTTAAGGATGATTCGAATAAATGAAAATGGAATTTTAAGTTATTCTAAAGTTTTAGTTAGCATAAAACATTAATATGATTATAGGCTTTTAACATATTTTAAAGAAATACCTAAAGTTTATAATTATTATATAACGCATCTTGTTTGACATGATTAATGATATATATAGAATCAAAAGTTAATTTAAACAGAAGCCTAGTGAAGTTGTATCCTTTAAGAATATTATTCTTAATAAAATCGATGTTAGATAAGCATTTAAGAGTTTGATAAAGGCTTTTTTAAGGCATTTAAGTAACATTATTGGTCGAGTGTTGTTCAAATCAAATTGCTAAGGTTTTAGTTTTGGAATGGGATAAACAAAAGCTATGTTTTATCTTGTAAGTATTGATAAAATACGAAGACAACCACAAATAATATACCAAAGTACTTTTTTTTCTAAAGGTTCAAGATGTTTGAGCATTTCATTAGAGATTTTAGAAAGGCTGAACACTTTATTATTAGGAAGCTAATCTATGATTTAATATCATTCTTCTGTTAATAGAACTGATGTTAGATGATTATAGATTGATAGGTCAATATTTGTTATAGGATGATAAGTTGAGAACTATTTATTTGGAATAGATTTATTCTCGTAAGTTATGTCTGCTATCACATCTAATTCATTTTCTAAATAGCAATATTTGTTTTTTAAAATAATTTGCATATCGATATATTTTAGATAATACAATTAATTCAATTAAAATAAAAAAATTTAAGTATAATATATGATCATTAAAATTAAATCTAGTAAATATTTATGTTACGAATTATTTATATTTATACTGTAATTTTAAAAATCTTACAACCTTTCTTTATTTATTAATGAGAAAAAAACTTGAGAGGTAATATAAATTTAGATTATATATATGGCATAACATCATAAAATTTTACAAGAATTAAGAATTAATGAAAAAAATTGTATAAATATAGTTGTAGGTATATATGTTTTTTAAATAAATAGGATCATATCATGTATATAATATTATTAATATTTATATATATATACAAAATAATAGATATAGTATTATTAATAAAAAATATTTGTATTGCAAAAATTTTATAGTACTGTACCCAAATAATAAAATTATAATATAACCATTTAGGAAATACTTTTTTTAGACTTAAAAAAGAATAAAAAAGATTGACAAATTGAGATACGGTAAGTAGTAATAATAAATTTAATTATTCTTTTTGTCAAGTTTTTAAAAAACATGCAAAACTTATCTTTTGATTTACCTTTATATAATTAATACTACCTAAACATACTGACGAGTTTGGTAAAGTTAGTAAGAAGTTATTAAGGTATTAGAATAGTCAAGGTGGGTTAAGAATCTGACCTAGAATAAAAATTTATCATCAGATTTATAATGCCATGAAGCTCATAACCTATGTTAGTTTATGATTATCGTCTCATAAAATAATTTAGTGATCAAATAAATGATTGATAATATGCATATTTCAGCTTTTTTAATATTATTTTGAAATTTATTATGCTTTCCAGTGTATCAAATTAAGTAAAAATAAGACACATTGTAAATTTACATCATATAAACCAAAATTTCAAATTGATTAGGAAGGTGATTTCTCCCTTTCTATCTAATACAAGCCCATTTGGCTAAATTAAAATTTTCTATTAAGCCAAAACTGATTAATTATTTTACTATTTATTGGTTGGTCAACTGATCAGTTAAAATTAAAATCAGTTAATCAAAAGTCTTTGACTGATTCTTGACTAACTATTTATTGACTATAATTAATCATTATCATTTCTAATTGATATATATGGAGATAATGATCTCTAGTAATAAAAATTTGCAAAATCTGCTAATATTTATTTTAATATTTACCTTACTTTTTACAACTTATTATCATTATTCTATAGATATTTTATTATAATTAATTATAATTTCTGCTCATTTCAGCAAAAGCAAGTATAAAATTTTATTAATTTTATTATTTCAAAAAAATTTAATTTCTATTATAATATATCATATTTAATTTTTTTAAAGAATCTTCTAAAGATTTAAGCAATTATTATTAAAATATTATTATAAATTGAGAAACTTCTTTTTATACTACAATTAGATATAGGTAACTAAATATAATTAAGTACAATTTTTGAAGAATTAGTAATTTCTCTTAAGAACATACCATAAATATGATCATTAATAGTTATTTTTTTTTCTATATTGTAAAGTAAAACATCATAATAACTTTAAGAATTAACCATAAAAAGTTTAATGAAACAAAAAATTCAATAAAAAATATTTGTGATTTGTCCAATTTTGATTGATTAATATAATGTGATACTCACAGTCTGCATAGATCTATGATATATTTGGCAAAGGTATACTTTAATAATATGAATTATTGATGATTAATAGAATAAAAAAGTATATAAATGCTATAATGCCTATTTAAAAACTAAATTAAAAAATACAAAAATCATTAAATTAAATTTAAAATATAAGAAATAAATTATTAAAAAATTAATAAATAAAATATGATAAAAATTAAATATTAGTAATATAATTAAAATAAAAATAAAAAAAAAAATGATTATTAAATAAGATTAAAAAAAAATTTAAATTTAAATTTAAATAATATATTTTAATTAATATCCACGATTTTTTTTTATATTTATTTTTTTAATTTGCTATTTAAAAAATCTATTAATAAAATTGCAGGTATTGAAAAAAATAAAATAAAAAATGTAATGTATAACCGAAAAATAAATCTAAAAATCAAAAAATCAATTATTAAAATTAAAAAAAAATTAACTGAACAATTAAATTAGAAAAATTAAACTTCTTTTTCATCAATATATTTTTATTTATCATAAATGAAATTTAAAGTTAATTGAATTGGTTACGCAATCAATTATTTAATGCTAAACGGGAGACGAAGTCCCCCGCAAACCGCAAACTCTAGTTTTTAAATTTCTGCTTTTAATACCAAATCTGCGACTTCGGTTTAAAGCCGTCCCTGGATATGTACAACCAAAGAACAAATTAAGAATAAATTGATTTTTCATCTTGCAGATATGCATTTTTGAGATATAATGATAAATTGACCAAATTGTTTTTACAATATCCTCAAACATCGCTCAACTATCATCATTCTATATCATTTTTTATCAAAATAGGTGTAATCTTGTTGGATTCGGCAACGCATTTATGTATAAGACATCTATATCAACAGGAATTTGTATGGATTTTTTTTAGCGTTACTTGCTATTTATTAGGTCGTTCCTCAAATAAAGATTATTAATTATTACTAAATATTACAGAGAAAGAAATTTATTATATATTTAAATGACTTTATCAATAACTTTATAAAAATCAAATCTGCTTATAAAGTACCCATATGATAGAAAAGGAATAAAAATCATTATATAAATGCATATCATACAAAAAAAAAATAAAATAAAATAAAATAACATAAATCAAAATAAATAATAATCTAATATTTCCTTGAACCAGCAGAATTAATTGAAACCCTCGGTCTTGTACCCGTAACACTATGACTACTGCTATTATTAAGGTTATTAGTATAAATATTGATTGATTTCGGTGGCGTTGGAACAGGAGAAAATCAAAAACTCTCTGAGGTGGGGTTGATTTGTAAAGTTGCGGTTCGTTGAATACTCAACATTATCATTATCATTATTATTGTTGACTTTCTATTCATGTCATTTCTTGGAATATGATTTCTTTCAAAAACATCGGCTTGTCTTCACAAGAAATTTTACGAGTTGCACCCCATGAAAAATCATCGAAATTCCAGCAGGTAAAATAAATTTCAAACAGGCATGGCCGAAAAAATATAATCATCCACATGACATAATTACCTTGAGTGGTGGTAAAGATGACCAAAACGCTTGAAAAGTAGCAGCAATAAATATCAAGAGAAAGTATCATCAACACTAAAGCCACCGGCAATGATACCACAAAGCTGTGATACGAAATTAATTCCATCAATTATGTATCTTAGAGTTAATCCATTTTCTTTTTTTGTGGCAACAATACTTTAAACTCATAGATTTACATATCGCCTTTGATACATAAATCATTTTACGTTTCGGGAATGTTCTCAATATCCATTATTTTGGTGCTTGATACGATACAAAAATACCATGAAAAACAGGTTACTCCACCAAATATTGATTCATAGGATTTTCCAAGATGATGCGTAGTATAATATTCCAACTCGTTTTCATATTCGATATTTTCGTTTCCCCACAAAGTCCCATGACCGTTTGATCACGTTCCATCGGTGCCACATATCCTACTAAAACTATATTTAAAAATTGACTGTGATAAAAAAATTTAAAGTTTAATATATGCAAAATCAAAATAAATTACAGTTATAGTCTTTAAACATACATTTTATGTTCGGAAGGACAATACTACACACCCACACAACCACCACGAGAATGTTAATGAATTCCATCTATCGAATTCCCTCATTTCGCCGAGCAAATTTTCATGCTCCTCGCTTAATTGTCTCATATTTACACCACCACCGTCGTTCCGGCGAGGTGTGGTATGTTCGTCGCCTTCTAGCGGCAGGAGGAGCAGGATCGGCCGGTGGAAGCGGGGGAGCAGCAGCAGCAGTAGCAGCAGGTGGAGGAGGAAGTTGAGGTGGGGCAAATACATTGATGGCTTGTTCGAAGTTAAATTCAAAGTTGTTTTGTTGGTACATATTTAAAGTTTCACTTAGAATGTTTATTAAAAGTTTCAAAAAGCAAAACTAACAACTTTTAGTATACTTTTTTTTTATATATATGTTCAAATCATCGAACATTTTGGAATACTTTAGAACAAAACATTACAAAGCATCGTGTCAATATCTACATTGGGTAACTTAAAAATTCGAATATTTTGGATATTTTAGAATAAAACACTACTGTTAAGATTTAATGTAATTCCGGCCGAAATCTTCATAACTTCCATGTAAATCGTTTTTGATAATTACAGTTAGTCTTTTTGACGATCATTTGCCAGAGAAGCAAGGGTTGCAGATATCCCAATTCATTATGGTGGAATTCAGGACCCAGTAGGATAGTTGGAAGAATTCACTAGAGCCTGTAATGCAACAGAATTTCCGATCCAAAAAAATTAGAAGTCGTCCCAGACTACTTGAAAGGACCAGCATCGACGTTATGGTCAGCAAATATAGCCAAGCAGGATATGCTAACTGAATTGTTGCCTGGTCAGGAAATAAAAATAACACCGATTTTGTTGTCAACTTTCCTACAGTATTTCGATCCT